TATTGGGATAAAGGGTTATTTTAGACACTTTACATGGAATTGTAGTGTGTAGGCCCAAGGGTATTTGTCCCAATATAGGCCAGTTAGCCGAAGCAAGCTATCAGCTGGAGACAGCTCAACACTGTCTTCTGAAGTTGCCTGAAGGCTTCTTTGCAGAGATGTCCACTCAGGAGAAGCTGGAGTCTTAACAAAGCCATAGAAAAGCATTTCAGACCCAATAAGAAGGTCATCTGGAGTTTATTAGAATATTCTAACATAGGTTTAGGCATGGGGATTGATATAAAGAGAAGTGATCAGGGAAAAGGTAAGACCCACTCGTGAGAGTGTGGGCTTTTTAAGGGTGAGTCCCACCTGAATGTCTGAGCAGCACCCACAAACTCCATCTGGGCATCTTTTAAATTAGATCTCAAAGGATTACTAAGGAATAGCCCCTACCCCCTTTCTTGATAACTGAGATTAGAGGGTGACTTGGGGTGACTCTGATGGGATTAGATCTGGATAAAGCCATGGTCCTTAAGCGGGGATCATGCATTTCTTTTCATTGCGAAAGGAGTTTGTGAGACTCCTGGGAAGCTGAAGCCAGGAAAGGACAGAGGTCTCCAGCACGGATGTTGCTATTTGAACTCTCTTGTTTACACCCTCTCTTTATGAAAACACTGCTTCACAGCAAATGATGTCAGCTGCGCTGTGGGCCCTGCATCTCAAGAAGCAAGAGGCTTCAACCAGACCCGGGAGAAGGCCTCCACTCCCTCCCTGTCCACTTAACTGTCCACATCCTTCTGTCCTGCCTTGAGATGAGTATTTTATTGATGTCTCGACATAGAAATGCCCCCTCTGCCTTTGAGCAGCCTAGAGTCTTCATGGACTAGGGAGAAAAGGGCAAGATTCCAAACCGGCCAGTCCAGTCAAGGCACTTCGAGGATATTAAACCAAGTAAGGAAGTTGGGAAAGCTAGAGGGCTTTTGAGGAATTTATTTTTTCCTTCAGCTAATGCCTCTGTCTGAGGAGGGCTGTAAATGGTGCCCTTTGTCTGCGTGTAGTTTAGAAGAGGGGCCAGCATGGCATGGAAGAGAGGGCCCTGCACAGGAAACAGAGAGCCGAGATTCCACCTGTGTTTGCAGCTGGGCTTTTCCTTCACCTCCCGAGCCTGGTTTTCTTCCTGTCTCCTAATGGCCTTCTCTCAGCTGACACGTGTTTGTTGACTAAGAAACAAATATTTGTTGTCTGTTAGCATGAGAATTGCCCTGGGGATTCCTGTGTGGTCCACATTATCACAGATTATATTAGGCGTGGGAAGAGCAGGGTTGTATTTCTTTCATTGGAGAGAACTAGGGAGACACCAGACCATGGCTCGTGATCTTTTGGAAAGGGGGCCGGGTAGTTTCCAGCTTCTCTGAGGACATGACATAATAGCTGAGACATCAGTGCCTAGCATTTACAAAAGAAATGCAGGCTTGTAACTTGCTTGTATATTCCATTAACTACCAGGATGGTTAAAAAGAAAAAAAAAAAAAAAAAGCCAGAGGAAGCTCTGAGAGAATGTACATGGGTCTAAGATACCTACCGCTAGTTATCAAACAAGTTACTAGAAAATTCCAAAGGAAGAACATATCTAAGGAAACAGCCAGTCGGTGGTAAGAGATTTCAAGGTGCAAAAGAACTGTTCTCTTTAGAATGGTGTGGGGAAGGACGGGACAGATGAAGTCAGCAGGGGAGCACGGGAATTTGTAGAGCTGGCAAAATATAGATCGCAGAGAGTAGTATAAATGTTAATTTGTCGTTGATGAGAGTTCTGGTCGGTGACAGAGCTAGGTGGAAAGTGTGAGAATTAAAGATGGGAGTTTCTGGTAGCACTGCCTGAGTTAGATGGAGGAAGGGAGGGCACAGCTCATATCTATCCAGGTAATATGATGAACAGTGTTTCTGGAATGGAAGGATTTTGCTTATTTCAGTTTTTATGTATTTGCCTGAATAAGTATATGTACATTCATATGAGGCCAGAGGACAGACTCAAGAGTCCTTCCTCAGGAGTCAGCATCTTGTTTCTTGAGGCAGGTTCTGTCACTGGCCTGGAACTCACTAGGCAGGCTGACCAGTGAGCCCTAGGGATCCTCCTGTATCTGCTCCCCTGGAACTGGGATTACAAAGGTGTGCCATCACGCCTGCTGATGTTTTAATTGGGATGCAATAGCTCAAACTCAGGTCCTCATGCTTGCATGTCAACCGCTGTAATGACTCAGTTATCTCCCCAGCCTAACCATGATCATTTGGAAAGGGGACAGGGTAGTTTTAATAGCATTGCTCCTCCTCTCTCCCATTCTCCATGAGGACATAATATCTCTTCCAGTAACTGTGTGTTCCTTTTGTAAATGCCAGCACCTAGAAAGGATCAGGACATAGGTGCCTATGTGTGCCTGATGAATGAAACCATCTGTTTTGGTCCCCCGGGCTCTAGATGTCAGTAGCCATAATATAACCTCTCAGAGGTTAGCCAACTTTTAACAGGGCAGGAAAATGAGGACCAAATCATGTATTTCTGGGGCCTCTTTTGGGAAAGCAAAGCTGAACTTCAACACAGGGCTGAACTCTAACTCTGTAGACCACTCCACTCTGCTGCATCCCACAGTCTGAGAGAGGTTCTAACTTTGTGTCCCCACGTAAGCTGCTCTTGCTCCAACACCCCCATTCACCCAGCTAGCCAACCACAACATGCCTTGCAGTACTCCTCAACCGTTGTGTGATGTGTCCTGTGATGTGTATAGCACACAGCAGGTGTTCCTTCATTGCATGAGAAGGTAAGGCCTCACTTGGAGTTGACAAATCCCATCTCTGGTCTGAGTGCAAGTGCTGACAGTGCATGCCAGTATGAGTGTTTACAAATGCCTGGCCAGTGTGTGCAAATGTAAGCAACAAAACTTCCTCCTCACAGAGGACGCGCAGCCTGAGAAGGCTCTCCTACAGAGACCTCTCCTTCTTTGCTGTTCTTAGTGAAAGCTCTGAGGGGCTGGATTGTTGGGTAGTTGGTAAGCCTTCCTCAGAGTGCACAGGGTCGACCTGACTCCAGCTTTTCTCTACCTGTGTGTCTGTGTCTGCTCTTTGCTCATTCCTTCACCACCCTAGTCCTGCTCCTATGACTTCATCATGCAGGATGCAGGGGATACAAATCACCCGGCAGTCATAATAAGAAATTCAAATCCAGATTCAAATGGTCTGTGAGACCGTAAGAATTGTCTCTATTAACAGGTTATAAAGTGATGGTTCTCAACCTGCGGGTCATGGGGGCCCAGTAACCCTTTCACAGGGGTCACCTGAGACCACCAGAAAACACAGATATTCACATTGCGATTTATAACAGTAGCAAAATTAGAACCATGAAGTAGCAATGAGAATACTTCTATGGTTAGGGGGTCACCACAGCATAAAGAACTGTATTAAAGGGGCAGAGCATTAGGAAGGTTGAGAACCACTGCCCTATGGCAAGGCTGAAGCTGCAGGTTCATTTGCCACGTTCCTTGGGTACCCTGGGTACGAGCCAGAGGAGAGGATAGCCTGTGCTGCAGGCCAAGGGCAAGCCGCGACCACGCTTGGCACAGCAGTGCTTGTATTGCGGGATGAGCCTGGAAGGGAGAATTGTGACCGTGGGTTCACTGGCGTCCCTTCTTAATTCACTCTTCATGACAGTCAGCTCATCGGAGCCCCTAGACCTCCGCATAGAGGCGATTGCATGTTGCTTCCTCTCTCGCTGTTTTAACACGTATGAAGTCAATACTTAGTGCAAGCCATGGACTGCTTTTCTATTCACGGCTCCATCTACGCCTCATCAGTGTCTAGCAGTCAAAGCTGTTCAAGAGGAACATCCCTTAGCTCAGCCTTTCAGAAATTTAACGTTGTCAGTCTAGAAGAGAGGTTCTCAACCTGTGGGTTGTAACCCCTTTGGGGCTTGAAAACACAGATATTTACATCGTGATTCATGACAGCAGCAAAATTTACAACTATGAAGTAGCAATGGCTGTAACTTATGGTTGGGGCTCTCCACAATGTGGGGGACTGTGTTAAAGGTCACAACCTTAGGAAGGTTGAGAACCACTGGGGTAGGGGCCGGAGCGATGGCTCAGTGGGTAAGAATGCTTGCTCTGGAAGCATGAGGATCAGAGTTCAAATCCCAGCAGCCACGTAACGATCTGGGAATGGCTTTGTGAACCTGTACTCTCGGCACTGTGAGGGTGGAGACAGGAGGATTTCTGGGGCTTACTGGCCACAAGCCTCGCTCCAAGTTCAGTAAGAGAAAGAGACCCCCCTCTCAAAGGAATATGGGAGAGTGGGAGAGCAAGACACCCAACATCCTCCTACATTGGTCTTCACATGCATGCATGGAGTGTACACACATAAAACACACACGTACGCACATGGACACACATCACATGTATGCCCACAAATAAATCAATAAAAGCATAAAATACCGGCAGTCTACCCAGACAGCCTAAGGGAGGCATGCCAGTAGCGTGTGTAAAGCCCTGTATTTGAACCCTTTACTACCCTAACATACACTTCAAATTAACATTGATTTAGGAGGGAGAAAGCCAGGCCAGCCTACTTGTCCCCTTTGTAAAACCGGAGCTATAAAAGCAGCATGTAATACTGCAGATGAAAGTGACCTGGCAGGGCCAGTAAGATGGTTTAGCAGGTGCAGGTGCTTGCCACCAAGCCTGATGACATGAGTTCAATTCCAGGGACCTGTGTGGCAAAAGGAGAGAACTGCCTACTACAAATTATCCTCTGACCTCCACATATACAGATGTGCGCGTGCGCGTGCGCGCGCGCACACACACACACACAAATACAACACACGCACACACACAATTTTAAAACGCATTTTAATACCAAGCATTTTGCACAGTGTCTAGTCACAGGAAGTAATCAATGCAAAGACGCCCAGAATCAACCCAGGAAAAGGCAACGCATGGAGTCATGAGTGTGCTCTTTGTGTTTGGCTTTTTTAGTCAGGTCTGATAAGGACACGAGACAATGAATTCCTCATCTCACCGCTACCTCAGCTGCTGGCCCAGGAACACAACTACAGCTCGCCTGCAGGCCACCATCCTCACGTCCTGTACAAAAGGACAGCAGAGAAGAGGGTCCAGCGGTACCAAGACTACCCTGGCTCCCACCGGACTTTTCCTGGTCACCCCCCAAGTCACACTCCCCCTGCTTCCCAGAGCCAAGAGACAGAGTACCGCCATCGAAGGTGGCAAAAGCAGCATTTTTGTGGACGACGCAAGAAATGTATGTAAGGAGACTTTCCTTGTCCTGGTTTGAAGAGGGCCTCGACGGGTAGTCTTGGGGGCAGCTGGGTTCGCTGATGTGGCAGGTCGAGGCTGCACTGAGCTTGTTCTCGGATGCGGCGTTGCAGAAGGACTGGTAGACCCCGTGCTGAAGGAGCGGCCGTCCTAACTTCAACTCAGAAAGATATAGATATGGGTCCTTTTTTGGCCTTTTTAGCATCTCCCAGTTTTAACCAAAGGTCCCAATCTTAGGGAGAGTTCCCAGCTTCTTTTATGGTCAAAAAGAAAAAAAATAAATTCACAGATGAGTGTTCTTCTAGAGACCCAAAGAAAAGATGACTCAGGATACCTCTCAGGAATGTTGGCTCCTGAAGGGGAGCTGGAAGTGAGCAGGGGAAATCTTGGGCATGCCCCATAAGCCAGTGGCAGATACCTATACCAGTGCTTAGAAGGAGGAAGTAGAAGACTTACGAGGTCAAAGCCAGCTTGACCTGTATAACAAGCCCCTGTTTCAACAAATAACACTGTGCTTCCTTTCCCCACTACCGCTGGGATCAAGTCCAGGGCCTTAACGTATGTTCACTAAAGCTCTGGACCAGCCAAGCTGTGTTTCCAGTCTCCTTTGCTCTTTTTTGTAGACCATCAAGGTCCAGTAGGTAAGAACCAAAAAGTTTGCATTTCCAAACAGCTGTGTTCAAAACTAGTTTCAGGAAGATACAGTGGTGTAGACTTGTATTCCAAGAGCTTGAGAGCTGAAGGCAAGAGGATCAGAAGTTTCAAGCCATCCTTGTAGGGAGGGGATTTAAGCCCTGTCTGGGCTACGTGAAATTCTGCCATCAAAAGAAATATATCGGAAGTAAGTGCTGAGGAGATGGCTCAGTGGGATGGGCCACTTGCTGCACAGGTGTAAGAGCCAGGGGTCAGATCCCCAGGACCCATGTAAATGCCAGGGTCTCCTCCTCACAAACACCCAGTAACCTCTGCGGCATTGGGAAGGTAGAAATGGGATCCACTGGGAAATGGCAACTAGACTAGCTGAGCTGACAAGGTCTGGGTTCAACTGAGAGACCCTGCTTCCACGTGTAAGATGGAGGTTGATGGAGGAAGACATACCCATTGTGAGCCTCTGGCTTCCACATCCATGTACACACACACACACAAGTACACACACACACACACACACAGAGGTACAAACACACCACACACTCATTCATTAACATCTGTTAACAAAAACCCCAAATGATAAGTTTAAAAACAAATTACTTTCGGTAGCATTTTATCTAACTCACAACATATAAAATATTATCTCAAATTAAAACCAAAGTAGCAGACTGCTAATGAGGGATTTCATATTGTATTCTGAAAAGATATGTACTTAATTAACTCTATGACTTAGTGTCAATTCCAATAACAAAATTTCCATTGGAGGTACTTAATTTGTGTATAGATTTCCTACGATTCAATGCTGAAATGATAGATTTTTGACACTCCATTGTTTCAAAGTTGTTTTCATTTTTCAGTGACCAAGTTAAATATTAATTTTTTTTTATGTGATGAAGAATTTGATCCTTATATTCACCAGCCACATTCCACTTATTTGGTAGCCGCAAATGGCAACCAGGCCCCACACTGCTCAGCACAGACAGGTGAGGGCTCCTCGCACAAACAGGAGCTGGCATGGTTGGTTACATAAGATAGTGTTTCTGACATTTTCCTTGGCTGCTGGTATTACCGAGTCAATGTATTTCATTAAGGAATAAAAATGAGATTTTTTTTTCTCTTTTCTTCATCGACATTTGCTGGCCTGCTTTGTCTGCAGCTTGTTTTCTTTTACTTATCTCTGAGCACATTTAATATTTCTGAATCTACCAATCTTTCCGCCTGTCCACCAGCCAACCCATCTACACATCTAAGCATCTGTTGAATACATCTCAGGAGCAAAGCCCTGGCAAAGCAGATGACAACAGTGACACCCAGCATCACCTCCTCGTTTTCTCATCTCTCTCAGCCTATGTCACCCAGATTTCTTCAGCTGATCTTCCTTCCAAATGCTCTTCTGTCCACCACAGATGCTCCCAAGCCTCCTGCAGACAACACCTATCTACGCTTTGACGAATATGGGGGCACGGGACGGCCCAGAAGATCAGCTGGAAAGTCACAAAAGGGTCTCAATGTGGAAACACTTGTAGTGGCAGATGCAAAGATGGTAGAGAAGCATAGCAAGGATGACATCACCACGTACATTCTTACTGTCATGAACATGGTAAGGGGCATTGTCAGGTTCCTTCCTTCTTGATAACCCCCAGACATAGAATTCCTTGTGTGGGGATTCTATACGCTTAGCCACAATTTTTTTTTTTGGAACAATTTGAATTTTGAGAAAAAAAAAAAAAAAGCCCTTTTGTTGAAACATGCATCTGGTAAAATTAAAGCCTACACCCTTATCAATATGTCCGATTGATTCTTTGTATGCAGGATTGTGTCCTGAAAAGATTTATGTGTTTTTAATTATCCCAACAGGTTTCTAGCTTGTTCAAAGATGGGACGATTGGAAGTGACATAAACATTGTGGTTGTGAGCCTAATTCTTTTGGAAGAGGAACCCGTAAGTGGCAAGCTATTTATTCATTTGTTCTGCTGTGGAGGATGCATTTATTGGATACCTACTTATATTAATGCATGAACTGGTCATTTGAATCTCATATTTGAAAGAATGCCAACCGGACTGGAGAGATGGCTTGGATGTTAAGAGCACTGTCTGCTTCTCCAGAGGTCCTGAGTTTAATTCCCAGCAATCATATGATGGCTTATAATCATCTATAATGAGATCTGGTGCCCTCTTCTGGTGTGCAAACATATATGTGGCCAGAACACTGTATATATAGTAAATAAATAAATCTTAAAAAAAAGAAAACAAAACAAGTATGCTAACCATCTATTAGGGAAAGTGCAGTCTAATAGTGATATGTAATCCAATCATTGAGCTAAATCATCACAAAACAATCCTTCATATATTAATCTAGATAATATAGTCATAGTTATATAAACAGTTAATGTGAATATTAAATACATATATAACATTGTTAGAATACAAAGTGTAAATACTCTGTATAAATATGTAGTTCTTATAATGAAGGTGAATTTGCTCATAGATTTTAGGGCTCCTTGGACTTTAGAGCTCAGATATGCTAACTAATGCAAAGGTGGATACATAAGTATATTTTGAGAATTTACCAGAAGAAATCCATCATAACATTCTTGTAGTAAATCTATGGTCGTCCAAGCACCAACTCAGGAATGACAAAGAATAAACAAGGAGCCTTAAGCTTCCTTGAATTGATTATGGTGAGGTGCATAACACAGGAATTGGGCAAATTGCAAAAACAGAACATATAATAATGTGTTAAATTGCATGGTGCTCCCTGCTCTGTAGTGTTTTGATCTGTAAGCTGTATTTTTCTCTATGATCTCACCAATCAGACAGATGATTTTTCAAAGCCCCTGAGGCTTTTCCTCTTCAACTCTAACCCCAGTAAAGAATGTGAAAAGCAGAGTCAGGGACAAGAAAAAGAAAATGGATCTAATTGCCCAGGTGTGTAGAGTTGCAGAGGTTTCAGCTTTGTGACATTATCCTGGAATTTTAGAAAGGTATTGTGCGTGTTGTTTGGAGCACACCTGGGCTTTGGTGAACCACTTACACACTGCTTAAGGATACTGAAACCTGAAGCACCCTGATTCACTGACAGAATTATCATCTAAAGCATTTGACTTGACCCAACTCAGTGGTTTAGCCTCATCAAACGCTTTGACAAGATTGTTTTAAGGATAGTTTCTGTCTTACTTCTCTGCTCCAATGTAATGTATGTGTGTTTTGCCTGCATGTATATGTACGTGCATTATGGGCGTACCTGGTTCCCCACAGAGGCAAGGAGAGTGCTGGATCCTCCAGAATGGGAGTTATAGAGTTATAAAGTTGTAGACTTAGACAGCTGTGGGTTGTCGTGTCATGCTAGGAATTGACCATGGGTCCCCAGGAAAAGCAGCCAGTGCTCCTGATCTTTGGACCATCACTCCAGCCCTAATCTCTTACTCTTTAGAGCCTAGGAAATAGTTCGCCATTCTGTAAACTCACATTTGTGTTGTTGATTGCTTGGGACCCGTTAAGTACCAAACTTCACAGAGAAGGAAACTATAGATGCTGTCTTTGTTATATTTTATTGAAAAACTATTGAACTTTAATACAAATAAATTTACCAAAAATTTAACAATTTTATCAAAAACATATATTTAGAAAGTACATATTGAAAATTAAAGCTTCTCCTAAAATTTATATTAACCTAAATTAGATTTTTTTTTATTTTTTTATTTTTTTGTAGAGCTTGGCTCAATGGTTTTTTTCCTACCAATAATTTCCCATAGAAACATGATGCATCTGCCTCCACAGCCGCAATGATTCTACTTTCTCTGCTCTAGCAAAATCATCAGGCTCTAATTTCTGTACTTTTCCCATTAGGAAGGCTTGCTGATCAATCACCATGCAGACCAGTCTCTAAATAGCTTCTGTCAATGGCAATCTGCCCTCGTGGGAAAGAATGGCAAGAGGCATGACCATGCCATCCTCCTCACAGGATTTGACATTTGTTCCTGGAAGAATGAGCCATGTGACACACTAGGTATGCCATACCTAGCTCTCTCATGAACACCTGTCAGCTGGAAGGACAGGGTGAAAACGTTCTGATGGGTGTGTGGCCCTTTTGCATCCTGTCAAAGGGACTTGATATACTCATGTGTCACTTACTTGATATACTCATGTGTCACATGCCGAGAACTGTGTCATTAGGTAATGACGTTTCTGTGTGACTATCTTATGGCATACTCATAGAATCTGAGATGGCTGTGACATCACTAGATACCATTTTCCTATGACACCACTGTTGTATAAACACCCTACTGTTGTCTGAGGTCATTATGTGGCAGGTGACTGTATTTAAGTCGGTAAATTATGGAGTAGCTTCCTTCTTCCAAGGTGAACATGTTCTGCTTCACTGGATTCACTGTGGTATGGAGAGTCTGTAGAACAATCAATTGGTATTTTTTCTTTATTGTTCAATTGATGATCAGTGAAGCAAAAAGCAGTCATTTGACTGAACATGGTTTCAGTCATTCTATAGGCACCATGACCACATAGCTGGGAAGCCAAGGAAAAACTGTTGAATGTCATCACACCTCACCGTGTCACTGATCATCAGGGCCTTCTTGAGCAAGCTCCTTTACTTCTTTAGCAAGCTCTTTGACTCCTTCTTTACAAGCTCCCATTTTACTTTTTACAGGACACCCAGCATAAGAACAGTATCTTTTACATGCTTGCTGTATTTCCAAGTAGATTCAATTGCCCATAGTAGGAGCTGAACCTTTTGTTTGGAACGAATTGGGTTATTTACATCAAGGTTTGCAAACCTTTGCTCTAGAGGGTTCTACAGTAAATATGCAGTGTTCTTCAGAGTGTTGACTGCTCACAGCAGCTATGTTAGTGAGAGAACAGTTGCAGACGGTGTGTAAACCAATGAGTGAAGCTTTGTCTAATGAAGTTACCCTGGGGAGACAACCGCAGACAGAAGTATAAACAAAGGCTGGGAAACAGCAAGTATGCCACCAGGAATCAATCCTTGATCTGCGCCACAGGTCACTCTCTTTCAGGAGGATATAGTGCGAGCTTAAACATCCACATATGCCTTGTGAATATCCAAGCCTAGGACAGTGCTGACCAAAGCAAGTTGATTCAATTTCCTGAGCCTCAGATTATAAAATTTATATACACATTACAAGTACAGTACAATATATAGTGTTTAGAAAATACCATGTATTAGAAAACACAGGACTTTCAAATATTCAGGCTCTTTAGGGAGGACAGGGAACAAGGCTTGAAGCAGTCAGCTAGACACCTAGAGACCACGTCAGTTTCACTGTGAGTCACACATTAACTACAACCCTCCCCTTACCTAGCATCTCTATGACTTCTATCACCTAACTTAGAGTCCTGCTTCCTTACCTCTGTCATGCAGCACAAGTAACATGCTAAGTGATGATGTCACCCATGACATACATGTGTGCCAGGCTGAGTTTATGGCTTAGCATTGAGGCAGACATAGCGAATTTACACGTATGTATTTAACCCTACATGGCCACAGAACCTTGTTATGATGGACATTAGCTCTCAAAGCTGGAAAGAAAGACATCCAGGTGTGACAAAGTTGATCAAGATAGAACCAAGGAATGATGGGAATAATTGTAGAACTGTTTTTGCAAAGAGGTAACTTTGGAAAATGAGGACACTTACCAGATTGTGAATGGGAGAAAAGTGAATTTGATATATACTTATTCCCTGGGCATGTTTATGTTTCTTGCTTCAGAGAAAGGTCAGGAAAGAATCAGAAAGTATATCCCATACTTAGACAGAAATGACACTCTTAAGTTAACATTGTGCATTGGTATAGCTGTCATTATATCAATTTCTCCGACTCTAACAATAAATTTAGATAAGTCATATAAATTTCTGTGACAATAAATATTCTTCAGCAAAAAACCCTAAATGTACTAATCCACTAAACTATGTATGTGTATACCCAATTAGTGTTAATATTTGACATTCATCTTTCAATAGGATTTGCTCCTATCAGTGGGATGTGCAGTAAGTACCGAAGCTGTACCATCAATGAAGACACAGGACTTGGCCTGGCCTTCACCATTGCACATGAGTCAGGGCACAAGTGAGTGGCTTCTCAATTCACTACTAGCTATGGAAACTGGCCAAGTCATCCTTTGTCCTTTCTCCAAGGATTATTATTTATATAAATCAAATTCATGGGACTTATCTTGTATAAAGCCTTAAACTGTGGACTCCAAAAAAAAATGGTTGAGGTGTTGGTAGAAGGCTCAGTTGCTAAACTATTTGCCACACAAGCCTAAGGAGACGAGTTTGATCCAAAGAACACACATGAAGAAAAAGCCAAGTATGGTGGTACATGCTTGTAGTCAAGGAGTCTTGGTTACTGTTCTGTTTCTGTGAAGAAACACCATGACCAAAGCAACTCATAAAGGAAAACATTTCAGAGGCTTAGTCCATGATTAACATGAAAGGGAGAGTTGAAACAGAGAAGCATGGCCCAGGAGCAGGAACTGAAAGTTTAGATTCTGTTTGGTGGTCAAGAGCCAGAGAGAGAGCAAGTCTGGGCTTGGTATAGGCTTTTGAAACCTCAGAGCCCAGTGGTATACCTCCTCTAACAAGATCATATCTCTTAATCCTTCTCAAATAGTTCCACCAACTTGGGACCAAACATTCAAATACATAAGCTTATGGGGACTTATTCAAACCACCACAGCCAGCAATATGGAGACAGCTCCCTAACCCTAATCCTAACTCTAATCCTAACCCTAATCTTAATGCTAACCCTAACCAGTATCTCCCTGGCAATGACTGATTAGACATCCTACTCTACTCATAAAATTTTAGGACAGTGAGAGACACTGTGAACAGTACCTAAAGAATGCTACCCAAGGTTGTCCTCTGACCTCCATCATATGTGCAAACACAGACACACAAACACACACACACACCCACAAAGTTCAATAAGGACTGGTCATTGAGACCTGTCTTTTCACATCCTATGTTACATCACTTAAAGTTTCGTGTTTGCAAATGAAATGCACATTACTTACCTGATTCTCATCTAGGTCTTCATTTTCTTTTCGGTTTTGCTTTGGTGAAGTCACTATAGATCCATTTTATTTCTCCCCCTTTGATTTTAACTTTTGGCGTGTGGCAACAATCTCTCAGTATATTTCTCTGGCTGGCCTTGAGCTTGTGACCCTCCTGCCTCAGCCTTCCAAGGAGTAGGATTACAAGCCTACACCAGCTCACCTGTAGAACAGCTCAAGGGGTGATTCCTTGTACTAATCATGCTAACGTGTAAACCCCACCCCCTTGTGCAATGATACACTAAATTTCGATTTCAAACTACTGGGCTATGATAATTTTAGCACTCTTGCTTACAGATAAAACTTGTCTAAATCCAAAATCTAACACTTAATTAAAGGAAACAAGACATAGTCTTCAGGTAGGATGGGAGAGCGGTATCAGAGGCAAGAGAAGCAAGGGTGTTGGGACTGGGCTATAGCTTAGTAAAACAAGCTTGAGGCTCTGAGTTGGACCCCCAGGTGTGGGAGTATGCTGGTAATCTAAGGGCTGAGGGAGACAGAAGCAGAGGTGAAAAGATCCTCCAGGCTGCCCAGCCTAGGCTAATTCTTGAGTTCTAGGCCAATGAGAGGGATCCCCATCTCCTCAAAAACAAAGGTGGATAGCACCTGAGGAGCCATCCCAGAGCTGCACTTCTGGGATTCGAGGAATGTGTGTGCAAGTATGTGTCCACACACATGGGCACACACAATGAACAGACGTGAGACACATTCTCAAGATCAGATCTTGGCATGTGGCCTTTTTGGCATGAAGTTGGGGAAGCAGATAGTTGCTGAGATTTGGGAGGACTTTCAAAATGAGCTGAAAAAAAAAAAGTATCTCCCAAAAGGCTACTAAATTAAAGTAGCAAAAATTTTTGAAAATGCAAAAAAATTGAAACTCAAAACTAAATTCAAATTGAGTTTTCTTTTGCTACCCCCCAAAAAAAATTCTAATGAGGCTCTAATTAAGCAGCTTTCCCTTCTTTAACAATGGCTTTCCTCTCTCTGCACCTCATCGTCCGTTTTGAAATTCTTGTTTTTTAGTCACAGGCTTTAGTGTATTTAGAAAGAATGTCTCCCAAACAAATTCCCTCAGCTCCCTGCTTAGGCATAAAGAAAAAAAATTGGCAAAGCTGAGAATGCAGACATGCTTTCGCCTAATGTCTTTTGAGATTAATATATAAGCTTTTGTGAACAGCCACCTCTAAATCCAAGGAAGTTCATCAATAACTATCCAGTACACAGCCACCCTCCACTTGCTTGATAAATTAAAAAAGAACGCCAGCAAAAAAATGGCTATATTGTAGGCAAAATTCTGTATATGGATATAACACCCTCATTTGTTAGAGCTACCTTCCAAAGGTAACAATATAATGGTATTACATTTCCTCTATAGGAACCGTACCTGCTTATATATATATATATGCACTCATCTCTCTCTCTCTCTCTCTCTCTCTCTCTCTCTCTCTCTCTCCACTTTACATCCCAATCTCCTCTCTTTCTGGTCCCACTTTCCTTCCCTCTTCATCCTACCCCCCTTCTCTACTCTTCATAAAAGGGGACCCCTACAACAACACACCCCAGCATATCAAGTTGTATCAAGACTGAGAGCATCCTCTTTAGGGGAAGTGAGTCCATGTCAGGGACAGCCCCTGCTCCCCTTACTAGGGAACTCACATGAAGCCTGACCTGCCCATCCAATACATCTGTGTAGGGGGCTAGGTCCAGTCCATTCATGGTCCTTGGTTGGTGCTTCAGCCTCACCAAGCCCCCCTGGGCCCTGGTTAGTTGGTTCTATTGGTCTTCTTGTGGAGTTCCTGTCCCCTCCAGGTCCTGCTATCCTTCCAACCCCCACCCCTCACATTTACACAAGATTTTCTGAGCTCGACCCAATGTTTGACTGTGAGTCTTAGCACCCATTTTGATCTGCTGCTGGGTGGAGTCTTTTAGAGGACCAACCTGAGACCCACCTCATGGGAGAGAGCCAACCCTGACACTATCATTAATACTCTACAATGCTGGCAGACAGGAGCCTCGTATAACAAAGCCCTCCTAAGAGGCAGATTTTATTTCTTTAAATGATCAGATTAAGAACAACTTAAACTCATTATAAATTCATATAAATAATTTCTCTGTCCATTGCCTCTCTGGAAAGAAAAGAATCACAAAATAAGCTTTGTTTCTTGAGGTTTTTTTTTCCAAAGGTGGCCACAGAAGCACTTTGTACCACTTCTTAAGACCACATGAGCTGGCATGTCTGCTCTGTATGCTGAGAGACGGGAGATCGTTTAGGAGAGGTGTGCATGATGGTTAGGGGATTTCAAACCAGTCCCATGGTTACAGGCAGTTGTGGGCCGCCTGATGATGAGGGTGCTGAGAACCAGATGTGAGTCCTTTGGAAGAGCAATGAGTGCCCATAAACATGAGGCGTCTTTCCAGCCCACCACATAATACATTTAAAAGAAATCCATCATGCTTATTTTCTGCAAAGGAATTATTCTAAGGCATAGAAGAAATGGTGTTCAGAAATCATTTACAGTTTTTATCATTACTCTGTAAAGATCTTTATTCTTATAAGGGGGTGCAATTAAAATCTGAATTAGTGAGTTTAGCTAATCGGTTGATCGTCTCTAGAGGGAAGATTTACACGGCATTAGTTTATTAATAAATATCAATAAAGGATTTATGAATACGTTTTCTCTGTGCCTACCTCCTCCTTACTCTGAACTTCTGTACCATAGCTCCAGGATTGGTGACAGGAAAAGAAATCAGCTATTTCTAATTTTTGAAATTAGCCACCTAAGCTTTAACTTAGTTTAGGATATTTTTAACATTTATTATTTTATTTTATTTTGTGTGAGTGTGTGCATGCATGCCTGGGTACATGGGTGTGTGTCACTTGTAGGAGTCAGTTTTTTCCTCCCATCATGTGTGTTCCAGGGATTGAACTCAAGCAGTCTAGTTTGGCCATAAGTGTCTTTAGCTGCTGAGCCATCTTCCTGGCCTAACCTTAAGAAATCTTGACCAAGACTTTGTAGCCTTCACAAATATAGCAGATAGATTATTTGGTTTTGGGGCCAATAAATAAATAACAAAGTCTCTAGTGTTCTTCCAGTTTTTCTGCAGAAATTTTACAGCAGTTTATAGTCATAGTAGGTCATCTTTGTCATCGACTGCTGTCTCCCAGCTGGCTCTGCTGAGTGTCAGTGAGTTGCTCAAATATTTCTCATTGTAACTTGAAACATGAGTTCACGGCAGGCGGTTTCCCGTTCTGTTTCAGCTTTGGCATGGTTCATGATGGTGAAGGCAACCCCTGCAGGAAGGCAGAAGGTAACATCATGTCGCCCACGCTGACTGGAAACAACGGGGTGTTTTCATGGTCTTCCTGCAGCCGACAGTATCTGAAGAAATTCCTCAGGTAAGACAGATGAAGTCCTGGGGTTTGTGCCCAGCTCTGTAGCAGTATTCGGTGGGTGTGGATACAAATATTTAAGCCAGGGGGTAGGTATTGCGATAGGAAGGCTGAGACAGAATGACTGAAAGGTAATGGTCTACCTGGGCTACAACGTAAGTTCAAGGCCAACCTGAAAACCTAAAAAGGAGGTGTGCAGGTGGAGCTCATCAGCAAAGTGCTTGCCTCGCATACATAAAGCGCCAGGTTTAACCTCTAGTAACACAAAACGAAATGCAAACAGCAGCAAATACTCCATAGAAATGTCTTGTGGTATGTCGATGAAGAGAAAGACTGAAAGTTCCTGTCAGGATGATAATTGTAATGATGCGATAGTTGAAAATCTGCTGAGGACATACTACTGTGCTAGATTTCCTCCACATACCACTGTACTGGGATGGCAAGGTGGCACAGAAGGCAAATGTACCTGCTATCAAGCCTGACTCCCCGAATGCCATCCTGGGGGCTTCCACGGTGGAAAGAGAGAACTCACTTCTGCAAGTCATCCTCTTACCTGCCCATTCACATTGTGGCATTCAAGGGCTTGCCCATGTGCAAACACATACACGTAGGTGTATACGAGTTAAAATATAACTTTAGAAGTTAAAAGATACATGTTACTTTTTCCTCTCAGCCGTCTTATTTCAGTCTCCACTGTAGAGCTAAGGAAACTGAGTCTCTGAGAGGCCAGTCGTGAGCTGTCATGCTGCAGAGGCAAGACTCACACTTAGATCCATTCTGACCCCAAGACCTAAAACTCATAGCATCTGTTTTTAACCTCTGGAACTCCTAGATAAATAGCCCTTTTTTTGTGTGTGACTATTCTAATCTAACCTGACAGCATGTAGGACTCAGGAGAGCCCAGTGTTTGGCTTAACTTTTAAAAATAAACCCAGGGCTGGAGAGATGGCTCAGCAATTAAAGAGTGCCCTACTGCTTTTGCAGAGGACCTAAGTTTGGTTTCCAGCACCCATGTTGGGCAGCTCACAGACGCCTGTAGCTCCAGTTCTAGTGAAGTTTCATGGCAAATCAGTGTTCCTGATATGTTCATACCTATGTCACCATATGTTAGCTGGAAATGTTCATAGAATTCTCTAGGTGCATCAACAAGGAAGATTAAATGTGAGCAATATAGCTGACTGATGCCCAAAACATAGTTTAAAAAAAAACCTAATAGATAAGTTGCTAATTGATTATAAGCCACATCCCCATATATTTTCATATTAATTTTAGATTCACTGTTTGGGGATTGACATCGTCTTTTCTACTTCATGTAAGGACAGAATCAATAAATATGATGCATCAAGATTCCCTCTGTGTAGATTAAATTTCCATCATGACATTGCTGCAGTTCAGGGCTTTGGGTGGTAATGACAGCTATAGCAGCAATTGGCATTACCTCCTGTGCCATGTTAAGCACATTACATTTTCTTGTTTGAGTCATGTGACAACCCTTATGGGAGTCGTAACCATTAAAGAGGTTTACAAGAATTATACAAAGTCATTACAGATACATGGTTGATAGTGCTTCCATGTGTCTGACTCCAAAATTGCCTTTAACATCACACACTAATTAACCTCTTAGTGATGGCATGGTTTGATTATATCAGTAAATTGGGATAGAGATGATTTTCTTAAAAACATTCTTCCCACATTTTCAACATGTCTCACTTGGGCACCCCTCAGGGGAGCTTTTCTGCCTCGTGCCCCTAATTCTAAAGTTTATTCTATGGGGTGCTCTTCTATTTTGCACAGGGTCTCTTGTGTATGCCTTGGATTGCCTTGAAGATCTCATGAAATAAAGAATAACCATAAACCCCTGACCCCTCTGGTTCCACTTCTGAGTTCCAGGATTCTAGGCCTGTAACAGCACATGCTGAACCTCTTGATTCTTTACATATTACTTTATTTTTGTTTGTAAAGTTTTTTTTTTTGGGTGGGGGACAAAGTACATCTTTATCTCTTCTCAGTCCTATCATCTTCAAGAAGCACAGTATCATTTAACACCCCATGAAGAGAGATATCCTCTGTGTCTGACCCATTTGGGGCTTGAATTTCTTAAGCTAATGTTCACCATACAATAGGCTCTCAGTAAAAATAAAAATATCCAGTGTTGTTGGATCAGACTATAGAAGGGAGATTTTACTCATATTTACACTTCCATTTTCTACACAATCCTAATGTGCACTGGTTAGATGGCCAGAACTTGTAGCCCCCTGTTAAACTCTTTATGACTGTATGCATTTCAGCCTTTTAGATGAAACTCACTCTTTGCAATAAAATGTACTTTAAAACACACACACATACACACACACACACACACACACACACACCTCTAAAGACAAGCCTGTTTCTCTAAGCACATTCTATGTTTCTCTGCATGACTGCACTCACAGAGCTGCTTTCTGAAACAAAAAGGTCACAGATGAACAGGGCTGTTAATAAGGATGTGTTATCACTGCAGTACACCACAGGCTGGCTGTCTGGTGGATGAGCCCAAGCAAACGGGACAGTATAAATATCCGGACAAACTCCCAGGACAGATTTATGATGCTGACACACAGTGTAAGTGGCAATTTGGAGCCAAAGCCAAGCTGTGCAGCCTTGGGGTTATGAAGGTATGTTTCCTCGTGATTTCTAACTTGCATTAAGGCTGTGCCATGTGCCTGTGTACCTAACAAAAGAATAAACATTTGGTTTGCCGAGGCCAAAGGTTAGCGTCTGGGTTATCTCTAAAATGTCATTTGTTTGGCATGATAATTAAGTGGTAATTTTCCTGTCAATGAATTATCCAGGCTTATCCCCCATAGACCGTGCATGCCTGGTTTGAATACCAGTTGTCTGTGTCCTTGGAAGAAAATTTCCCCCTTCTCACATGCTTTGTTGTCATTATGTGTATTGAAAGTGATGTGCTTAATATCACCACTACATCAAGAAACACCCTGTGCCCTTGAAAGTGTAAGAAAACCGTTAGAGCAGGCAACTCTCTCTGATACCAGGAAGTTGACTGTCTCTTTAATATTCTTAGCATGGTTTTTGCACTGACTCTTGGAAGCAAGATTACAGCAAAGATAAGTGAGGAAACACAAACTTCTAGGATACAGAAATAAGAGAAACTGTGTTGCACTCTGTCAAAGAAATGCATTCTTGACGGCATTGTAATCCCAACACCAATAAAATGTGCCATAAATTTAAAGCTAGTTTATTCCCCGTGTTCAGTGGAAAATACGGAGTGGGGGAAACAGGGAGGTTAGTAGCTTCCCCCTTCGCTACTTCCACACCTTTCCCCTCCTCTTTTTCCTTGTCCTCCTCCTCCATTGCTGCTTCTCCATCACCACCAGCAGGAACACACATCAGTATCCACACTGCCACCACCACCACCCAGCACTTTCTTCATGACCCTCCGTTCTACAAAAGGCGTTCCTCCGAAAGATTTATTGTACTTGACCTCCATCTTCAAAAACACTTTGAAGTAAAAGTTATTGCTCCCCTTTCACCTACATCCCAGAGAAGGTATCCAGCTTGCCCTCGGCTGCTGAACTTTTACATGATGAAATCTAAACAAAACAAATCACCTACGTGGAAGTCAAGCCTCCCCCTCTCTCTTGTGGTGTCCCAGTTCACCTCAATTAGTCCCTCAGCCTCTGTCTTGACTTGAATGTTATCTCTGTAGTTTTATGCTTTTCAGTAAGATAACTCACCTATAAGATGGGAGTCCATTCTTGAGAAACATTATCCAGGCACAGGCTTGACTTGGAGCTATATAAGTTAACACAATTTGAAAACATTACTATTAAACCTGATATACAGCTGCGTTATTTTAGGCATATCCTTCACAACACAACAATGGGCTTTACATTGGCAACTGTTTATGTATGATAGGTTTAAAACAGTGAGCAAATTTAGAGCTGTTTCAATTTGTCTGCTCAACCACAACATTAGGTGGAATCGCCCATTCACTGTGTGGGGAGAATGCATCTCCTGAGTGTGTCCTTCCTTCACTTCAACCTGAGATTCACTAGCTTTATCAGTCATCAGATATGTGCACCTTGTAAATCCAGAGCTAGTAACAAGTATGGTTTCCTTTGGAAATACAGAGGAGTTCTCGAATGAGTCACATTCCACCGGGATCAGGCCTGTTCTGTGTCAGGCAGTGAGCTGGGTGTTCGTACCTTGACTTAATCATTTTCTGGTGCCACATCATATTTTTAAAAGATGGTATCTCAGCCTTAGTTGACCCTGGAAAGCATAGTGGAGGGAAACGAAAATTCTAAACGAAAAGAACAGAAATAATGAACGGCTCAGAGATGTCTGGGTGTCTGGGAGGGAGCTAGGGGGTCTGGGTTCACAGAGACCATTTAAGATGCCAGTGGATGGTGAAGGTGGCATTGATTGATGGCTCCCGAGCTCAGGCTTGTTTTCCCTGTGCACTAGCTTTTGGTATTATCCTAATCTTGCTCATAACCTGAGTCATGGCCACACCTCTAAAGGTCATATATCATGCCTTGGTGTGCTCTCACACAGACATACACACAGAGAGACGCACAGACACATACACACAGAGAGATTTTCAAAACAACAACAACAACAAAAAAATCTATTTTTTGCATTTGACTTCATGGTCTTTATTGTGCTGTCATCATTTGCTCTTTCTACATTTTCCCTTAAATTTTCATGAACTTCTTTTGCTGTCATTCCTTCTAGAAAGGCAGGAAGTTAAAAGCATGCACACAGGACTGGAGGAATGCCTCAGTGGTTAAGAGAACTTCCTGCTCTTCCAGAGGACTCGAATTCAATTCCCAAACCTACACTGGGCCCCTTATAACTTCCTGCACTCTAGCTCTAAGTGATCTGACAACATCTCTGGACTTTGGGAGGAACTACATGTATATAAAAACACATATACACACACACAGAGAGAGAGAGATTAAAAATAAATACATTTTTTAAACGCTTGTATGTACACATGCACACACTCTCTGCCTTTGGGAGTTAGGCAGACCTGGGGTCTTACTCCAACTTTGCCTAGAATGTTGAATAAATAATTCATCATTCTTTGACCTGAATGTCCACATTTGTAAGGAGAAGGTAATGGTTCCCTGGCTAATTTGTTAGGATTGTTCTCTGGGTATAGTTTTGTCCTTCTACATATGAGAGTTTCCCCTTGATCTCCTCCTTCCAAGTTCAACTTCATTACCATCAGCACACTTGACTTTTTCCTAGAGATAGAGGTGTCTGAGACATTTTTGTTACTTGTGCCCACTCTCCCTCTTCTCCCAGACTCACACATCATTTGCATAGCAAATCATACTGATCTCTGTTCCTTCCCACAGTATTTGTATGGTCAGTTTGAGGACTGAAACATAAGCCATAAAGCAAGGCTGCATATGGAGACAGAGAGGTGGCTTTAGGTGACAGCTGAGGGGCAGCTCATGGGTGCTATACTGATGTTGGTCAGCTCTAGTGAGGGCTTTCCTAACTGTGTTACAATGTGGTTGATGTCCATGGACAGAGAATATATGAAAAAAAAAAATAATCCCACTGCAAGTGTTAAGCCAGACAGACAGAAAGCAGAGCCAGGCACAGGATTTTATAGTGCCTTCACTCATGCAAGAACTAACTAGGATCACAGGAGAAATTCCTTAATCCCTGTGTGGGATTATTTCTTGGGGAGACAGAAACACGTTTCTATCACTCCCTCCATATAGGACACTAATAAGAGATTAAGGAGGTCAAGCTTAGTGAACCAATGAGCTTCTGAGGTTTCTTTACAGGTGCACAGATGACTCAGAGACAGGAATACCACACAACTGCCCATCTAGCATGGGTGGTCACTTGGAATAGCTGCTTCCTCTCCCTAGAGCTTTCTGCACAACGTGATGGCAGCTTGCACAGTTAAAGAATCTCTTATCAGCAATTGAGTATTGCAAGTGTGACCTTGGGACAAGACCTACAGATCTTAAAAATAACAGGAACTTCCAGAGACTTAAAAGTTTCCTGTACCGCCTGAGGCTTCCTCCAGTGGGGAATGTCTCAATTAGAAGGAAGCAGCTGCATAATAACCCCTGTCAAGGGCACACCTTCACCCACCTGAAACCTCCCCACAGACCCTGGTTGATAATGACCCCTCCTCCCAACACTGGCACACTGGAGATCAAGCTCCCAACATATGGGTGTTGGGGTCAAAACATATCCAGGGAAAAAGCCCTGTTCAAGAAAATGAGTTACTAATATGACTCAGCACTCCATGGCATTTAGACAAACCAAGAAAATGGTTACCTCCCTAGCAATTGGTGAGGAGAACATCCATTCAAGGATTACGCACTTGAAAATAAATTGTTGCTGGCTCGCCAAGCAGAGTTGATGATGTTTGTTGGGAAATCTAAAGCAAAGTGAGGGAGTCGAGCAATGTTTGTATCCTGGCGGTTTTCCTGCACTGAACAGGAGTAGAACAAAAGGAGCACCCCAGAGTTGTTTCCTGGCTCAGCAGCCCTCATTGCCGTCACACAACAAGGGCTCGGCTTGTAGTGGAAAAGCCACTGGTGGCACTCTTGTTTTAAACTTTACTCTATTTGGGATGTTTAGGCCTCTACCTCCCTTTCATCAACCTCCCCCCACCCCAAGCTTAAGTAGGAGAGAGAAAATATTAGTATGTAGAGTGGGCCCAGACCACTTTGCTTCTCCCAGCTAGTTAGGGTCAGGGGTTCTTTTAGGGCTCTATACCAATCTCCGTCAACTGCAGATGCAGCCAGCAGTTTCCTCCATGCTGCTGCGCCCCAAAGTGCTTCTCTCCATCTGCCTGCTCTAAACAGCCACACTGCCTTTGGGTGCTCGTCTCTCCAAACTGCTCCCTGCCGCATGCCAGCGCTGAACACCACGCTGAACTCTACAGCGCTGAACACCACGCTGAACTCCACACAGTCTCTTTCTTGGAATCATATTTGTATTCTGGAGTCCTAGACCACGCCCCTCTTCATGCCACACATGGAAGGCCATTTACCAGCTGGCATAAGCACGCCTTGCATGTGACAATTAACAGGTGTGGATTAACTTTAGACCAACTAAAATCCCACACTTGGGATTAAAACAAAAGCATTTATATAACATACAAAGAAACCAAAACTTCCATTACACAGCCTTCCATGTTGATTGGCCCTCTGAGAGAATTTGAAGCCAAAAAGAAACTGTGGGGAAGACATTTGAATACTGGGGAATGTTTTAGTGCCCATCAAATTCAGAGAGCCTTTCTCCCAGAAGGCATTAGGATATGGGTTTATTTCCTCTAAGAATTTGCCATTGGGCTTAAAGAAGGGAGAATAAACAGAAAGTTTCTAGAAGCTTCTCACACATGCTCGTCATCCTTCTAGTAGCTTTCCCTACAAATTTACACCCCAGGTGTACCAATGAATGCCCTTATACACCTTCAACTATTCCATTTAATATTTCACTTCTCATGCATTCAAACCCTTGTCTATGGATTTCCCATTCTAGAATGCTGCGTAGCCTTCTGTATGACAAACATGCCATGATTTTGTACTGTTAAAGATGTATCCCAGAAGGTGATTCTATTTCTCCCCAAGACCATTTAAACTCTCCATTGTGAACTTGTATTTCCACA